GGGTGGGAGGGGAGGGAGAACCCTGGGAAGACCAGAGACAAGGTACCGGGAGTGCATGCCACGAAGGCGCTGCACTGACGGGTGACCAAGGCGGTGGTGCCAGAGGACGGTCTCGTGCGCCAGGGAGCGACACGAGCAGGGGGCCGACAGCTGACCTGACGCAGACGCAGACGCAGCTACCTGAGGGGACTCAGTGGTCAGTGTGTACAGGTCCGACCCCGGCTGCCGAGTGAAGGTAGCCAGGTGGCGACCCGTCCGAGCACACGTGCAGTGGGTCACGCGCTCGTGGGCAGGGGTGAACTGGTGAACACCCCCGTCCTGGAGAGCAGAGCCCGCCACCAAGTTCGTAGAGAACGAGGGGAGGTAGAGACCTGACAGGGTGCCGGACGGGACTGCAGGACAAGGGAGGACAGTGGAGGAGGTCGCAAGGACCGGGCCCCCGGAGGGGTCAGCCAGGGAGACAGCAACAGGCCGAGCTAGCTGCTCAAGGACAGTGCAGTCACGAAAGAAGCAGCGGGAAGCACCCGAGTCCAATGTGAAGGTGTGCAGTGCCTCAGTAGACTCAGGACCAGCAGACGCAGACGCACGAGCACCTGGAGCAGCAGACTCACTAGCACCTAGAGCAGCAGCCTCACCAGGACCTGGGGCAGTAGACACACTAGCACCTAGAGCGGCAGCCTCACCAGTACCTAGAGCAGCAGACTGGATACCGGGGTCAGGCGGCACACACAGGTGACAGGCACCCTCAGCACTAGTAGACAATGCATACATGGCAGTGAGGATAGCATCATAGTCAGGAGCAAAGATATCTACCCTCTGCCTAAGTAGCTCCAGCCAGGAGGGGAGCTCAGCGTCGTCGCCAAACTCTGTACGCCAAGCGTCGCTCAGACGGGCGAAGCAGCGGGACTCTGTGTGACCAGGTGTCCCGCAAGGGTGACCAGCCCGGACACCTGCGCGAATGACGTACGGGCAGCGAGCAGTACTCAGTGACCCTCTACTCTGAGCGTACCACTCACGAAGCTGCTGGGGCGAAAGAGCCTCGCGGGGACGACGCTGCAGCTGCACCTGGCCACTACCAGAAGCTCCCGAACGACCCACTCCAGAGCGACTCCCACTACGGCCACCCCGACAGCCCCAACTAGCGTACCACTCACGAAGCTGCTGGGGCGAACGAGCCTCGCGGGGACGACGCTGCAGCTGCACCTGTCCACTACCAGAAGCTCCCGAACTACCCACTCCAGAGCAACTCCCACTACGGGCACCCCGACAGCCCCAACTAGCGTACCACTCACGAAGCTGCTGGGGCGTGAGGGACTCATGCGCACGGCCCTGGAGCTGCATCTGGCCACGCCAGGAGCAGCAGTAGCAGCAGTAGCGGCAGTAACAGCAGTAGCAGCAGGAGCAGTAGCAGTGGGAGCAGTAAAAGCAGTAGCAACAGTAGCAGTGGTAGCAGCGCGGGCAGGGCAGTGCTCACCAGTGGTGGGAAGGGCAGGCGCAAGACGGCGGCGACAGCGGGGCCGCTACAGCTGCAGGGCGGGGCCGGGCCGCGGCAGGGAGCTCCGCGGCAGCTGCTGCAGGGCGGGGCCGGGCCGCGACGGCAGCTGCTCCAGGGGCCAGGGGCGGCTGCTGCAGGGGCGACTGCTCCAGGGGCCAGGGGCGGCTCCTGCAGTGGCGGCTGCTCCAGGTGGCCAGGGGCGGCTGCTGCAGGGGCGGCTGCTCCAGGGTCCAGGGGCGGCTGTAGGTGCGGCTGCTCCAGGGGCCAGGGGCGGCCGTCCCAAGGGCGGGCGCGGGGTAGGGCAGGGCGCCGCGGCGAGCAGGGGCGACTCCGCGCGGGTCCCAGTGGCGACGCGCGGGTCGCGCGGGGGCGTCGCGACGAGGCAGGGGCGACGCGCGCGGGTCCCGGTGGCGACGCGCGGGTCGCGCGGGGGCGTCGCGACGAGGCAGGGGCGACGCGCGCGGGTCCCGCAGAAGCGCCGCGACGAGGCGGGGGCGACGCGCGGGTCCCGCAGGGTCGTCGCGACGAGGCAGGGGCGACGCGCGGGTCCCGCAGGGGCGTCACGACGAGGCAGGGGCGACGCGCGGGTCCCGTAGGGGCGTCGCGACGAGTCAGGGGCGACGCCCGGGTCCCGCAGAGGCGTCGCGACGAGCAGGGCGACGCGTCGCGGGGTCCAGGGGCCGCGCCTCGGGGTCCAGGGGCGGCTGTGCGGGTGCAGAGCAGGCCCGCGCGCGGCCTGCAGGGCAGGGCGGCAGGGTGGCGCTCGAGGGCGCGGGTAGGCAGGCGCTCAAGGGCGCGACTAGGCAGGCGCTCGAGGGCGCGGGTAGGCAGGCGCTCGAGGGCGCGGGTAGGCAGGCGGACGGCACACGGGGCTGCACGGGGCCGCGAGGGGCTGCGTGCGAGGCTAGTGGGCAGCGCACAACTAGCAACAGGGCGCACGACGGCGCTAAAAAGGGGTGCTCGACGGCGCTAGTAAGGGCGCTCGACGGCGCGGGTAGGGGCGCACGACGGCGCGAGGTACTATCAGACACGGTCGCGCAAGGGCGCGGCGGAACGGTGGGCCCTAACCAACGTCGGTCCTAGGTCCTGACCTAGGCGTCGGATACCATGTTAGAATGTAGAACTGAACGAGAATGAATGAACTAGGCAGCAGGGTGATACAAGTAGGAAACCCTAGCAATGTTGTACCCCCTAAGGCTAAACCCACTATAGCCTACACAATATAAACATGTATAATGTTTGACACCAATCACGTCCCAATAATATATCGTGCCCATCCAGTGTCGTCGCGAGCATTTCCTGTGTAAACCCGAAGTTTCCCCCGCAGCGGACTTTCACTCTCTCCACCTTGTCCCGTATGGCCAGCGGCGTGCCATCAATTAAGCGTGCATCTATCTCGGGTAAACACCGACTAAGTGTCAGTTGCAGCTTCCGTGTGGTTGCAGTATTAACTAAGCTGTGACTTGCTCCTCCGTCTATAAAAATCTTCACTGCTGCTCCCTGTATTTTCCCGTGGATCAGTACTGGGCAATCCGTCGCTGTACCCTCCTTATTCGTCCGAGCCCGATCGATAGCATGAATCGGTACTGTGACTCGGTGAGGGTCGGTGAGGTTGGGCGAGCAGGCAGTCTCGTCAGTAGTTGGCCCGATTCCTACTGACTGCTGGCGTTTCCCTGCCTTGGAGACTCCCTCCCCTGCTCTGCTCCGCGGCGCCTCAGCTCCTCTGGGCACTCACTCTTGCGATGGCCCGGCCTATTGCAAGCAAAGCAGCGCCCCTTAAACGGCGCGGCAGCTGCATTTGTCGCAACGGCATGTACGGTGGCGTGCTCGATCGGTCCCCGAGAGCGATGTCCGTAGTAGGACCCCGGTCTCGGACGGCGCAAGATGTCGATTTTCTTGGCGAGCGCGAGAATCTCGTTGAAATTCGAGAGTCCGCGTAGCATGATTTAGTGCGAGATGTCCGGCTTTAGCCCTCCGACGTAACGGTCCACCCGCTCCGCTTCGTGCATGTAGCCGACTTGCTCGCATGATGCAAGAAAACCGCTCGTGTAGTCTTGAACCGACCCAAGCTGCCGCCAAGTACGCAGTCTCTGACGCGCCGAAATAGAAGCCGCGATCGGCTCGAAGCGCGCCCGAAGCCCTGCGCACCACGCATCCCACGTGCTGTACTGGGCAGTTTCGCAAAATGAACTCCAGGTGACGGCTGGACCCGTGGGCCCTTCCTCTTGCGACGGTGGCTCGTAGGCGCGTGGCGACGTCACGATGACTCGCCACCAGTCCATGGCGGGGCCCCTCAGCAGCGAGACGGCATATCGGATCTTCGCTGCGTCCGACTCGACGTAGTTCGCGTCGAAAAAAACGTTCATCGTGAAGACCCACGATTGAACCGTCGGACCTCCACGCTGGCTCGGGTCGAAGCAGGGCGGGCGCTGCGGCTTGAGTGGCATTGGTGCCATGATGGCGTGGTCGCAACTTGTCGCCGCAAACTCCACGTGCCGACGGGCTTCACGAGGCTCCCGCGGGCTTGGCGCGGCCCTGTTCCTCTCCATGCCCGGCATCGATTGAGCGGCGCCATCACTGGCTGCGCCTGAGCGCTGTCCCACGCTGTCGTTTTGTGTCGGTGTGCCTGATGAAATGATGATCGGTTCCTCCGATTGTGCGGGTGCATTTGCAGGTGCGTGTGGTGGCGCTGGAGCATTCGCCGTGGATTGCTGAAGAGCGGAGTCGCGTTCCGCCGTGAGAGTCGCAATTTCAAGCGCCGAATCTTCGACTTGGCGCACGAGACGGTCGAGTTGCTCCTGCGTCAGTGTCGCGAGGGTGAATTCGGCCATGGCGGGGGTGTCGGGCAAGCTCAGCGAGAGCCTCTGTCGTGGCCGTGCGTGCTTACGAGAGAGCACGACGAGCGGCGGTGCTTGTGTCGCTGAGAGACGTCTACCCCCCCCCAAAAAATTGAGATAGTGGGGAAGCGAAGGTGTGGGTGCGGTCCGAGAAGAGATCGTAGGCTCTGAATACCAAGTGTTACGAGTGCAATTGAGTGAACGAACGAAGATTGCACTATCGAAGCAAGAGTACAATGAGCGAAGGCATGAGCGAAGAATATATAGCGAAACTACAGTGGTAACGGTCATGCGTAAAAATGGGGTGCGCGACGGGCCTAGCGCCGAGGTTGGGGAAATGTCGAGGCGGAGGTCCGGAGCGCGGGTTACCAACCGAACCGTGAGGTTGGGTCGCATCGTGAACGGTGGCGGGAGTCGTGGTCGAGGCGAGTGTCGCGAGTGGGTGCCGATGGCGGGAACAGACATGTACGCGGTAAGCAGGGACGCGAAGTAAGGAAAAGGATTTTTCCTTACAATTCCATACACTTGATCTCTCAAATAAATCATTATTACTCGAAAGCAGCATAAATAGCACATACATATTTACAGGAAAACTGAGTCAAGGTGGTTGTGGTTCTGAATAGTTAGCGCATACACACTCCACATGGTGGGAGGTGTCAGATAAGGTGTCAGATATGCCCGCTTGCAGCTGTGTAAGCTTTGACTGCTTCCACGATGGGTGCGCGGCACATGGGGCAGTTTTGGTCCCTCCTCTTGAGCTCGTTTGCACACTCCACACATGCACACATGTGGCCGCACCTGCAAACAAAAACCCACTGGAGCGATAAGCTTATGACAGAAGAATGGATCGCCTGAGAGCACCATATAGCATGTTGATCATCCACGATGAAGGTGAGATTGAGTCATACCGATACAGCAAGCAGTCAATGGGTTTGTCGCAGCAGACACAGCAAGTGCCGGAGCGAATGAGAGCCCATTTATGTCCGCCCAGTGCCTCCTGTGGCACACCTGTACATCATAGACACATCATGAAATAAAATCAACTGGATGCTGAGGGAACTGCCTTGCAAATAACCATGCAGCCATATGGCAAGGCAAAAAACCAGAGTGATTGCAAAACACAGATGCAATCACGGGGAGGGCTGCCTGCTTGTGGGGCCATGAGTGGGGAAACGGACCTCTGCCAGAGTCGTAGACGCGGCGCAGTGCCCCGGCTAGCTCCTGGCGCTGTGCGCGCTGCAGCTCAGACATCATGGAGAGGCACACCTCCATGGCCTGCTCCACACGCGAGATCTGCTCCTGCATCCTCGCCTCCATGCCCCTCACCTCGTCACGCACCTCCAACCACCCCTGCGGCACAGCAAGGCGCACAGTGAGCCAGAGCAGAGGAATGGCATGGCAGCGCATTGGTGAGAGAGCGGACTAGGGTGACAGGAGAATCAAGAAAAACAGACATGGTGTGGGAGTGACAAGAGCATGGTGGCATGGGCTCACATGGTCCATGTAGCGCTGTGTGTGGTGTTGGTTGAACCCTCCACCATATGCATGTGCCCCTCGCACTCCCATCCCTCCACCCATGGGCGGGCCAGCATGGGCGTTGAACGGCATTTGCCAGAGGGGGGTCTGGGGAGGTGGGGGAGGAATTGGTGGCCGGCGACCTGCAGTTGCACCAGCTGGCACTTCTGAATCCCCGGCCCCATTCCCATTAACTTGGCCTGGACCTCCGTTCAGCCCCTCCTCCCGCTGCCGCTGCTGCGGCTGCGGCTGCGGCTGCGGCTGCTGCTGCTGCTGCTGTCGTCGCTGCTGCCTCTGCTGCTGGCGGCGCTGCACAGGGGTTAAAACGGCGGCAGGCGAAGGAACGGCGGCGGCAGCAGCCAAGGGCCTTCGAAGCGTGATGAAGGAGTGGATGAGATGCTCCAGACGATGGCGGAACTCTGACGTCAACAGCGTTGTCACACTGCGCCTGTGTGCATAAACAGGGACGAAGTATGAGAGGGATCCCATACAGGGTGTGGGAGAAACGGTCCATGCAAGGGTTGCAAGTAGAGGAGCCATGCAGCGAGACAGTCGTAACAGTACAGTGCTTACCTGCTGAGGAGCTCTTGCAATTCCTCATTGTATTCTGTTAGGGGAGGCGCGCCAAAGGGAGGAGGGGGAGGGGGAGCAGGAGGCAGCAGTCGGGGTCCCCTGCCAGGAGCCCGTGCGCGGGCCATAGATGTAGGTTGAGGAGGCAGTGGAAGGGGTGCAGGAGACGGCAGGGTGGCGCGATGAGGGGGAGGGACACCAGCGCTTGGCACATGAGCAGGTGCAACAGGGGCGCCTCCGGCAGGAGATGCGCGTGCCCATGGAGCCTGTCCCTGTGGGGCACTTGGATTGCCTTGAGCATGTCTGTTCAACTGCTGCTGCTGCTGCTGCTGCTGCGGCTGCTGCTGCTGCTGCTGCTGCTGCTGTGAAAACTGCCGCAAGTTCCGTTGCTGCCATGCACGAGTCGGGCCAAGAGCGATCAGGCTCTCCAAGTTGGATCTGAACTGGGACCTGGCAAAGGGTACAATGCAAGGGAAAGTGCACAGAGGTGTGGGATGTGCACGGTTGGTGTACTGGATCATGGAAAACAACAGAAACTAGCACTCTTCAAAAAGCCTCAATCACAATCTCCTGCAATCACCGTACTTACTCAATCCCAGAAACAAATCGGTGCGTTCGCAGCGCTCCTATTTCCTCCTGCGCCTCCGTCATCTGTGTCTGCTCTTCGTCCTCATCCTCCTCCACCTGCTCTTGCTGCGTCAGCAAGTTCCGGCGCTGCATCCACGCCTGCAGGGAGCGGAGTGAAAGATGCAGGTGAGAAAGATGAAAGGCAGGCACGGCTATGGCGACGCAGGCTGGCACCATGACTGACAAAACGGTGTGCTTGTATACGAGCGCGGGCGGTGTGTGCGTTGCTAATGGGATACCTGGATCCGATCGCGTGAGGATGACTCGGTGACAGCTCTGAAGGAGATTAGCGCTGCTAGCTCCCGCTGCCGCTCCCTCTCCACCCGAAGCAGCAGCTGCATCAGACGCGCTTCCCCGTCCATGCTCCCATCCAGCTGCTAGTCACATGGAGGGGCGCAGAAAACGATGGTATTATATTTTAAAGAATGAGCAACAGCAAGATGCAGAGACAGAGCCTTATGCAAGCTTGCGTCGGTATCCACACACCTCCATAGTGCTGTCGGCACCCAAGACAGCGCTGGGTTGCACAGCAACGGTGGCTGCGAGCGGCGCTGTGGCTCGTGGTGATGGTTGGGAGGATGACAAGTTGCTGCCGCCGGGCGAGGCAGACAAGTAGCCTGGCGAGCGACCGCGCACAGACCCACGGGAGCCTGTGCTGCCTGCCGTTTCGATCCTCTCCATCGCACCCCCGCTTTGTACCTGAATCCCCTCACTTGTCTGTTCCGCATCACTCTCGTGCACCTCCTCAGGGCTTCCTGTCTGCCCGACCGGGCTATAAGCAGGCAGAGGCTGCTCAAGAGGCGGCCACATGTGCATCACAGACGCGTCCGTGTGGTCGGCTATCGCATAGTTTGCTGGGTCCTCAGGAGGAGAGCGGGAGGCAATGGGAGGCGAGGAGCGAAAGGCGTCATCAAGCACGCTGACGGCATGCAGCTCTGCCAGTCGCAGCAACTCCCGCTCCCTCGCCTCTCGCTCCAGTGCCAGCCTGATCGCCTCCGCATCCGCCTGCACCTCGTCCCACCGCTGCTGTGCATGAGCCACATCTCCTTGCGCGGGGGACGACGACTCATTCCCACTCCCTGTCGCGTTGCCACCCACATCAGCGACAGCGATGCCTGCTACAGCCGCAGCTGCCGCCGCTGCGGCTTCAACGTCTTCAACGGTCGGTGCGACGCCATTGTGCCTCTGGGCGGAAGAACCAGCTAATCCAATGCTGTCAACAGCAGGGATGAAAACATGGCTCTCAACGTTACTGTCAGAGGCATCACGAAGCAGCGATGGCAGAGAAGCATCATCCATCGTCATGCCGACACCGCCACAGAGAGCGGTCATGCAGCAGCTGCTACCGGCTTCATCAGAAGCCGTCCCACTGCTTCCAACACCACTGGAACTGCTGTTATTTGCGGAGTCGGCGGAGCCGACAGCACTGGCAGACGGGACGCCACTCTGAGATGGTCCCTCAGCGGCTAGTGGGTGGCTCAAGTAAGGATGGGGATGCTGAGTGGCCGTGCCGCAGTTGGCAAGGGCCAAACACGTGTTAAGGTGGTCCTGAATCAGCTCTTCCAGGCCCCTGCAGCATGAAAAAGAACCCCCAAGAAGGATTAGGACTACAAGGTGGGACGAGATTCAAGGACGAATAAAGAAGATGCCACGAAGGGAGCACAGGTGGAATGCGAGAGCGAGGCAGAATGGAAGGGAAAGATGGACCACGGTCTTGAGCCCACCTACGGAACGCGGCATCCGCGTTGGACACAGCATGAGCTTCTGAGAGCCGCATGAGGTCTTGCTTCTGTTGAACCTGCTGCAGCTGCAGAAGCTCGGCCAGCTGTCTGTCTGCCTCTGCAATAGCCGCCTCCATGATATGCTGAGAAAAGGATTTCGTTTTCGTTGAAGAACCTGAGATGTGGCTGTCGGAGCTAGTTTATGGGTTACGAGGCTTGAAAATGTGATGCTTGGAACTTCCGGCTGCTTTGAGACCTTTTGGAGGAAGACTGGGCTGCTGCTACCGCATGAGCTCGTGGAGCGGTGCTTGGAGACCTTTTGGAGGGGATGGCTGCGGTTTGTGGAAGGATCTCTGTGTTTTGGAGTAGGGAAATTTGTCAAGCGGTCAGAAAATAAAGGAAGCTGTTTGGTTTCTCGAAATGAGTTCAAATATGTCACACAACCATGGGTTCAAATATGCTGCTTTCTACTTCTAATCTGCCCGGCTGTTTGATCAAGCCGTCAAACCCAAGGCACTGCCGGTGCCGTGGGCTGGAGAATTACGAAACTTCGATGTCCCACCCTGGGATTGTGAACAGCGCAGCTTGCTGCGGAGCAGCGAAGTCAAGTGCTTCGGGTTAGGGTGGAGTGAGGTGAGGTGACTCGGTTCGGAGATGCTCGCGCCAACCAGAGATGCTTGCGCATCAGCTGAACCTAGATGTCATATTTGTCAGCTGAGAGCATCAGCTGTTTGGCCCGAAGTTCCGAACCATAAAGGTCCGTCGTCATTGGCAGCCAAGGCAAAACCAACCATACCTGACACGAAGCGTTGGAAAACCCCCGAACTGCAACCTGTGTACAGTAGATTCAAATGTCGTCTCTAGGGAATACCGTAGAAATGCTTAGTATATATGCGGGTGGACTATTCAGCTAGACTGTTAACTGCTGGCAGGCAGGGCTGTCTTGGTGGGTAAGAAAGCAGTTTAGCTGTACCCAAGAGGAAGCTGTTCCATTGGCTGATACAACGTGGTTTAGGAAACTGTGAAAGCTTTAATGCATCCACCTGCACATCTAACGCACCACTTGACTTCATGGTGTGAGCTTTTGCTTGGAATTAGCCCCCACCAACCCGACGGCGGGTTCAGGAATGAGATCTTCTCATATTGTTCCTACCAATCTGTGAGATGTCAGCGGCAAGGTTTTTCACCTGCCTTGAACTTGACACCACCCCACAAGGCCCAGAAGCCTTCATGATTTCCTGTTTTCTGGCTTCCACAAAGCAGTCGAGCCATGCCAAAGTCGGCATCAAATTGGGGAAACTGGACATTTCCGCTTGTTTTTATATCCTTATTTGAGCCCGAATTTGGTCCAAATACGGATAACCCCAGTTTAAGAAATCCAACACAGGACCGACTGCGGATGGTACCAGGAGACTGACAAGGGGGGCTATGAGCGAGGACAAGAAGAGTGTAGCACGGGTAAGAGAACGGAAATGCAATGAGTGGAGAGAACAAGGGGAGCTGATAACGGGTGGAGCGAGGACGGGGTTGACAGATGGAGGAAGAACAAGAGAAACCGACCAGGATGGAGATAAGAAAAGGGATCGGAGAGGAGATTGAGGGAGAAGGGACGTGGAAGACTGGCGTGGGGAGTGTCGACAAGGTAAATGTACGTTGGGAGTGAAAACAGAGATGGAGCACATGAACGAGATTTCCAAAAGGAGAAAAAAACGAAGGAAGCGATGTGTGGAGGGACATGGATTGACATGAAAAGTGAGAACGTGACTGGTGGAGAGGAGACGCGAGGTTAGGCAGGAGAGGTGGAAGACTGGAATGGGCACTAACAGAAGTGCAGAAGAAGATGGTGGACATGGGGTGAAAAAAGGACGACATGGAGATGGGCGTGGCACAAAGAACGAGAACACGTGGAGTTTCACTGCTCAATGCTGGTGATATGTGAATCAATTGGGTGGTTCGTTCTGATTATCCGGACAACCTTTTGGCTTGCAAACGCGCAAGGGAACACTTGATGAAAGTAAGAAAGATTCAAATATAGCCAGCCAACAGGGTGTTTAATTGTCACACACAAAAAACCGAGAACGGGTTTAAACCCAGGTCCTATGCTAAAAGAAAAGCCATTCAAGACCCTGCTCCTCGATCCCTCACCATAATAGACGGGCAGTTGGTGGCCGCCGACAGGACCTTCCATAGCCGCGCAACCGATCAAGCTGGCCACGTCATTACGGCACTGCTGGGAACTATGAACAGCGAGGGATAAGAGCAAACTGGAATTGGGATGGGAGAAGGCAGGGGGGCGAAGGAAGAGCGGCGAGCCGGAACACCTCAGTCGACGAAGTTTAGTTGCACGGGCATCTCGTGGATGCAGTCGTCCCACGGGCCTACGTTCTCCTCCGGCTTGATCCGGCGAAGGGCGCGCCACACCGCGCTGTTGCACTTGAACCCGCTGCCGAACGCGATCTGCCACACGCGATCGCCGCGCCTGACGCGGCCCTTGGCCTCGGCGTAGGAGAGCTCGTACCAAATGGAGGAGGAGGAGGTGTTGCCGAAGCGGTACAGCGTCATGCGCGACGGCTCGATGTGCCACTGCGACAACTGCAGGTTCTTCTCCAGCTCGTCCAGCACGGCGCGGCCGCCCGCGTGGATGCAGAAGTGGTCGAAGGCGAGCTTGAAGTCGGGAATGTAGGGCTTGATCTTCATGCGGAACACCTTGCGCCCCACCAGCACGGCGAAGAAGAGCAGCTGCTCCGACAGCGGCAGCACGAGCGGACCCAGCGTCGTGATGTTGGCCTTGAGCGCGTCGCCTGCGACGGCCATGAGATCGCGCGACAGCGACACGCCGACGATGTTCTCGTCGTCCTCCTCCTGGAAGACGCACCGGTAGCACTTCTCGTCCGCGCCCATGTGTGTGCGCACGCAGTGCACCAGCTCGTACTTGGACCGGCGGCGCTCGCTGCGCTTGTTCGTGAGGAGCATGGCCGCTGCGCCGATCCGGAAGATGCAGTTGGGAATGAGCATGGATTTCTTGTTGCCAAAATAGAGATTCTGAGTCATGTTCTCCGTCGACACAACCACCGCGTACGAGCCGCCGTGCACCTGCAGCAAGTCGCGGGCGAGATCAATGGAGATGACACCAGCGCTGCACCCCATGCCGCCGAGGTTGTACGACCGGATGTTGCTGCGCATCTCGTACTTGTTCACGATCATGGCTGACAGCGACGGCGTGGGGCAGAAGACGCTGCAGTTCACGATGAGAATACCCACGTCGCGGGGCCTGATGCCCGTCTTAGTGAACAGCTCGTCAAGCGAGCCGAAGATCACCATCTCGGCCTCCTTCCGCGCCATGTCCAGGGACGGGTTTGGAGGAATGTTGATGAAGCTGGGCGGGAGGCACGTGCGATCGCCAAGGCCCGCTCTCTCAAGAATGCGGTTTTGAAACTCTAGCGCCTTATCGTTGAACTTCTGCAGCTTTTTGGCATGGTCAAGAGCCCCCGAAAGTGAGAGAGCGAGGTTCTCCGGAGGCTTGAAGCAGACGAAGTCCACAAGGTAGACGGGGCGTGGTCGTAGGAGAAGATACGAAGTCGCGCCGAAAACAACGGCGGCGAAGCACACGACCACGCTGACCAGGTTCAGTTGGAGATGCTGCCACAGCTCCAGCAAATCGTCGGGCTTCATTCGAAAGATCTCCACGGCCACGGAAGCGAAGAGCGGAATGAGGAGCAGAGGGAGCCCATGAGTGATGAGATAGTGATAACCGAGCTTGACATGACTGAGATTGACGCTCTGCAGGAAATCTGGCAGCACTCGGCGATTCACCGGAATAGCGACGGCTTCCGGCTTAGTTGGTGATGCAGCGGGTATATTTGGGAGTGAGGATGAAAGCAAGGGCTTCCCTTGCTCTTGGGACGTAGTAGACGGAGACATGGTGTTGCCTGGTAAGGCGTAAAGGCCCACTCAGTTACCTCAATATGAGTGATTTGGTCAACAGAGGTATGCGAGGGCCATATGGTTGAAGATCTGGCAAATGTGCAGACCTGAGAGACTCAAAACCTTGAGAAGGGCCTAGCGTCGGATTCAGCAGAACAGGCCGACGAGATCTAGAATTGCGCGCGTTTGAGCGGGAGGGGGAGGAGGGAGGTAGGGAGAGAAAGCCACGTGTTGGTTTGTCACTGTATTGAAAAGAAGCTCTCGAGGAGGCACTGTAGGGGAGGGCATGAGATGCGTGATTGTGACAAGCTCCATCTTGTGAGGAGAAGCGCGGGAAAAAAAAGGGGGGAAGCATTTGGTTTGGGGGAAAGCAACGAGCCAGGGCCAGGGGATCTTCGATCGGGAATGGGGCCCTCTCCCCACTCCACCCCACCCCCTACTCCCCAAAATCTGCCCTTCTGCCTATCAGTTGTGGATCCAATTCTAGCGACACCGTCGAAATAGAGTCCCAGGCCCCAATCAGGGCACATGTCGGTCAGCCAATCATAATGCAGTTTGGTCCTGCCGAACTTCGCGCGTGACTGGTGGTCGTCGATGTCTTCTACACTCGTAGTTGGGGCATGTGATAGGGCATTCCAAGATTTCACCACTTCAACCAGAGCATCTTCGAGGGCCTCATCCACACACCCCAGGCGCTACGACTTTCATCGAAATCAGGCCTTTGGACGAAATTTTTACTAAAGTAGGAAATCTAGAGGTGTGCCCGTCAGAATCCACGATTGGGGGCAAAAATGTCCACGTCACTTCGCAACGAAGAATCGACGGTCCAGGGAAGCCATCGCGAAAGCTGATTTGAACCTCGGGATCACACAAAAGGTGACGACTGCATGAGATAACCCCTTACTCTGTACACTGTATTGTCTTGTACATCCCCACTCAGAAAGTGTAAATTTCAGGGAGTATAACATTCTAATTAGGTTTCATCTAATTGGGCATGCTGTACTGACACTAACAGGCTTACAAAATTCACAATTACTCGCCATAATGTTCGTTTCTAGGAAATATAGAAGCTTACGCAAGTTCGGACAAAACAAAGTTGGAAATGCACCACGTCATCAGGGCCTATTTTTCAAGGGTGAAATGCAATGATTACACTTACCAGCGACCGTTTTTTGGGGTTTACCCTGATTTTGTAAGCCTGTTTTGTTTTTTACTCTTTCTGCAAAAGTGTAGACATACGGAATAAAGTCATTGGGGTTTTTTAGCCTTGCCAGGTAGGGTGCGGGAAAAAACGCACTGAACCAGAAACCCCCCTCCCCCCCCACCCCCCCTTTCCCCCCTCAACATTTTCCTCGATCCTCCAAGAACAGTCCCTCCCACTCCCTGCGATTTTCTCGCCCCTGCCAAACGAATTCGCCCCATTCTCCTAGGTTCCTTCCTTTCCCCAGTTTCCTTCGGCTCCACCATTCCCCCCCTATCTTTCCCCTCTCCCAGTCCCACTTCCCCCATAATCTTCGCACCTCCCCCCCGCCAATTTTCCTCGCCTTTCCCAGCCCATCTCCCCGCATCTAATATGTTGTGGGGACCAGGGACTCGCTAGCAGCAGAATGACAAACAGCTCAAGGTTTGAAGGTTTCGGGTTTAGGGAGAGAGAGGGGAGAGTGAGGTGGTGGTTTCAGCTGCAGAATCCTTCTCGCCACCCGCTTATCCTCCCCCCCACAACCCGCCACCTCCATCTCCACTCCCGCTGCCTCCCCACTGGACGCTACCCCCACCACCTCGCGCTTCGCAAGCGCGGCTGGCGCTGGCTGGAGCAAGGGTGCGGCGACAAGGAATGGGGTGACGGGGAGCCGCGACATGGGGCACGACGGAGGTCGCGCAGGGCGCGACGGGACGCCGCACCAGAGGCGCGACAGATAAAGCCGCGACGGGGGGTCTGCAACGAGCGTGGCGGGGGGGGCGCCTAGTTCGCCGCCACGACCATCGCAACCGTCGCGACGGTTTCAGCGACGGACGCACGAGAGGGGCGCAACGGGAGCGCCATGAGAGATTGTACGGGTCGGTCTAGAATCGAGTCGCTCGATACCATGTTAAGTGATGAACTGAAGCTTAGAAATCATGACGAATAGGATTCAGGCTAGTAGCGTAAGTGACGAGAGGCATCAGCAAGAAAGAGGGGGTTCAATAATGAAGGTGGCAAAGGGGGGTTACACCACAAACAGAAAGTAACCTAAATGATACTACACTGGATATCTATATGCAGTTGCAAGAATATACATTCAACACGGTTATACATCATTCCAGAAGGTAGCATACCATCTCGTAACGATACCGCGACTGTACCACTTCCGTGTTAGCTGAGATAGAGCATGCAAGTCAACAGTCGGTAGTCAACTATCTCGACTGTTGACCATCCTTGACTGGAGGTTGCGAACTACTTCGCAGGTTGTAAGCACTTAGTTTACAAGCTGCAATGATATCACCACAGGAATCGCAATGTTGTAGCGTTGCCTGCAAAACGGTTGAACATGGGAATGTACCCCTCGGAGTACACAGCTAGCTAGGAACTATATATTTCATTGTAATGCATTATTATAATCATCTTGTCATTTACATTCACTATGATCAAGGTCACAATACTTCCGCTGTATTATTAACTAATCTTCCCTAGCTTGGGTAATCCTGTCCAACAAGATCCTTGAGTTACTATAATATGGTATGAGAGCTTGCTTGGATTATGAGAGCTGCTAGAACAAGTTCTCTCATTGAACTTTATAGAAATACTTTCCTGATACAAGGAGTGTCAGAACTTATATTTGTAACTGCCTGTAGCTGTAGTTAGTGTAGTTATTATAAACTTTGTTTGGTGGTGCACCTTATTTGTTTCCTTTGCTATATGTTCTTCGAAACCTATAGTGAAACTATCCTTTCCAACTTTCTCGCCTCTCACCCTAGGCACAAACTACTCGACATCCTAGTTGGGCCTAGGCTCCTAAGCCTAGGCCCTAGTTAAACTTGATCTCCTTTCTACTATTTTCTCATGCTATCAGAGTGAGTTACGTCCTGGCCTGTGGGCCCGCCTCATGCTTCCGCTGCTACGTTTTTCCGGTCGCGCGCCTAGGGCGCGTGGCGATTTTCTATTGTCCCGCCCCCGGTTGGCGAGTGACTCCTACTCTGCCCGTCGCGCGCCCCGTGGCACGCGACGGTGCCCTAAACCTGCCCGTCGTGCGCCCCGTGGCACGCGACGGTGCCCTGCTCGTCGTGCGCCCCGAGGCACACGACGGTGCCCTTACCTTAAACTTACCTGTCGTGCGCCCCGTGGCACACGACACGCCTCTCCGCACCTGCTCTCACTGCAGCCGCCCCTGACCTACCTGCGCCGACACATTGTAGCCGCTCTGCGGCTTTCTTCCCGCCCACCCCCTCCTCCTTTGTCTCCCTGCAGCCGTGGGGGGGAGGGTATGGGGGTGGCGGGTGTTGGAGCGTTGGGTCGTATCCTTCCCTTCCCCTCCTCCTCCTTTCGTTCCCACTGCTGCAGCTGCCGCTGGGGGGGAGGGTGTGAGGGTGTGGGGGAGACGGGGGAGTGGCACCGGGGTGGCGGGTGTGAGGCAACCAGCAGCCGTCCCTCCACCTCTCCTCTCTTCCCCCCCCTCTCTGCTGCTCCTGCAGCAGTGTGGGGGAAGGGAAGGAGGAGGGTGAGGAGATGGAGGGGGTGACCAGCTAGTGTTAGCCCGCCTGCAGTACCTGCTGTTGCTTGTTTATTATTTTGCATGTGTACCCCTGCAGGTTGTATTCTGCACAAACTCCTGATGCAGGCAGTTATGGGGGAGTGTCAGAACTTATATTTGTAACTGCCTGTAGCTGTAGTTAGTGTAGTTATTATAAACTTTGTTTGGTGGTGCACCTTATTTGTTTCCTTTGCTATATGTTCTTCGAAACCTATAGTGAAACTATCCTTTCCAACTTTCTCGCCTCTCACCCTAGGCACAAACTACTCGACATCCTAGTTGGGCCTAGGCTCCTAAGCCTAGGCCCTAGTTAAACTTGATCTCCTTTCTACTATTTTCTCAAGGAGCTACAATATGCCATGCGCTGACTGCGGCAAAACTGGAGAAAATCCAGTCCCTCGTTCCTCTAATGTCACCTCATGAGTGACATTAATCGATCCTGCCCCGATCGAACGGCTAATCTCCCGCATCAACGCACTGGAGAGCCATCATTAGCCCATGGGCATTGAAGGTTCCGGCTTCACACAAACGCCTTCAGATCCTCCTGGGCCGATTTTCAAGCGATCGTTCTATAATTCCCACCTCCCTACAAGGTTCTAACCTTTTGGATCTATGTAGTTTGGCAGATATAGGCATTACAGTCGTGCATGGTACCTGCACGACAGGCGCGCATACCAACCAAACTAACCAGCGCATCACTTATGCTTATAGAGATGCAGTTAGTACCATTTTCTTGCCAGTCCACTAGATTAGGCCTTCTACTTCAACAACACTAGGTTCTAACCATTTGGATCCACATAATTTGGGAGATTTCAAAGTTCCAGCTCTGCCTTGTACCTGCATACAAGCGTGCATACTGACCGAACCGACCAACGCATCACTTTCTCTGTAGAAATACGGTGAATACCATATATTTTTCCCTTCTCCACTAAATTAAACCATATCCCACCTCCCTACCAGGTCCTAACCTTTTGGATTTATGTAATTCGGCAGATATAGGCATTCCAGTCGTGCATGGTACATGCATTACTTGCGCGCATACCGACCAAAATGACCAGTGCATCACTTATGATTGTAGAGATGAGTTAGTACCATTTTCTTGCCAGTCCACTAGATTAGGCCTTCTACTTCAACAGCACTAGGTTCTAACCATTTGGATCCACATAATTTGGGAGATTTCAGAGTTCCAGCTGCGCCTTGTACCTGCACACAAGAGTGCATACTGACCGAACCGACCAACGCATCATTTTCTCTGTAGAAATACAGTGA